GGGGGGGGGGGGGGGGTTTGTTGTGGGAGGTAATTACCGCCGGTGACGGACTGCGGCTGAGGAGGCGGTGGTGGTGTTGGGTTCCGAGTGGAAACAGGGGAACTGGAGCTTAAAGAATCCGCCGGAGTTCCGACCAAGATAGGCTGGCCGGAAGCGACAGCGGTGGCTGGGATGTTCAGTTTGGAGCTCTCTCGGCCTGCTATAAACATAACTTCGCCGACTCTTTCCGCCGGGAAATTGTTGAACACAAAAACTTGGCCGGCGTAAAAGATCGTCATTTGGGAAGCTTGAGGCGCCGCCGTAGCAGATTTGTAGACGCTAAAATAAAATTTTGATTTCATCAAACAAGAAATTTCTCAAAAAAAACAAGACGGTGGAGAGATGTCGGGTTAATCCATACCTTGAAACGACGTCGTTTGAGATACCAAATCCAGCTTCTTGAGGAAACAAATCCAAAGACTTGAGATTCGCCATTTTTTCCGGTCGGTGGAACAGTTCCGGCGCCGACCCTGAAATTCCAATTTCAATTTCAACTTCTCCCAATCAAAAAAATAAATCCAACCCACAAAATGTAAGAAAAAAAAACATAAATCCTCACCGTTTCTTCTCCGGAGATTCGCCGAGAAACCCAGATTCAGCTCCTCGCCGGAAACCAGCATCGCATCGGCGGGAAGAAACCCGAGGTTCTCCGGCGATTTTAGAGACGAAACCTGAGAGAATCCCGAAGACGTCGACATGGGTTCGGAGAAAAAGAGGAGGATTTTGAGAAAGTTCCGATCTTGAAGATCCCGGTGAAGATTCCGATGAAGATGAGAGATTCCGATGAGGGCTTAAGTTCTTAATTTCTGTCTGCCTTTATAAAGCAGCTGCCGAGGTGGGTCTAATTTATGGTCGAACAAACCTAATAAATAGATAAATAAATAAATAATAAATAAATAATAGAAAATAAATTAAATTAAGAATTTAATATAATTTAATAATAATAAAGGCACGAGGAATATGTGGGGTTTTTACTCGGCGGTTTCCTGCAA